CCACTCTGAGGAAGGTGCTGTGCTCTCCTCGGACTCACTCTGCGTGTCGCTGAGCGACTTCTCCTTCTTTGCCTGTTTTGCCTTCTTCTCTGCCAGCACCGGGCAAGCTTTCACCAAGTGCCCGACCTGGTTGCAGTAGCTGCAGGCCTTGAAGAAGGGCTTCGCACAGTCGGCTGCACGGTGTCCCTGGCCAGAGCATCGGGAGCAAACAAGACCGCTGACGGCTGCCATGGCTTTCGAGCAGGGAGTCTAAATGCTGGGGAGCTAGATCGCTGGGCGCATGCTTGAGGCCACAAGGTCCGGAGTCAGGGGCCATCGCAGGCTTGTATAACAGCAGGAGGACAGTCGCGCAGCAATGGTGATTGAAGCTTTGAACATTCAACGAAACCCGGAGAAAAAGGACCTCGACCTCCCCAATACCCGTACTACTAGCCGGTATAACCCAATGTCTCAATGTCTTGGGGCGAAGGGCTAGCATCAGAGATACTTGGGAGTGCCAGCTGGACCCTGCTAGTGGCTAGAAGGATCCGCATGGAGGAGCCTCACCTTCAAACAAAAGCCCTGAACCCTAAACCTTAAACTTGCAACCTGAAAAACTTAACCCAAAACCCTTACGCGACCTTAGACCCTAAACCCTAAACCCTAAACCCCTAAACCCCTAAACCCAAAACCCTTACGTGACCTTAGACCCTAAAAGCTTAACATAAAACTTCTGGGATCCATGCGGATTTCAGATCCTCAACAATCTTCGCAAGGCCAAGCTCGCACAGACCATTCCTGCTTAACCGTTTAGGATTGGGTTTAAGGTTTTGATTTTTTTTGATTTTTTGAGTGTTTGATGTGTTGACTTTTTGATTTTTTGATTTAGCGTTCAGGTTTGAGGGTTGGGGGCTCTAAGGTTAGGGCGAAGTCAAGGGTTTAGGGTCCTACTTTGTAGACGGTGCAGGGCCCAGGTACCCCTAGTCAAAGAGAATCAAACTGAACAGAAAGCAGGAAAAGGAAATAGAAACTGGGATGATGTAGGGGGGTTTAGGGATTTCAGGTTTGGAGTCTGGGATTGGCTCAGGGGTTGGGCATTTAAGCTTGAAGCCTTTTGAGATTTCATTTCACGCCTTCCAGGATCCTCGACTATGACTTGAGGGTCGATGATCCTCGCAAGTGGAGCTCCAAGTTTGAGTGCGAAACTACAAAATTGAGTACGAAACCACAAAACATTGGACAATACCTCGCTATCTTGATTCGGGCTCATACTTCAGGAGTTTGGGACAGGTCTCTGCTTCCGGGCTTGATTTCGGACTTGCTTTGAGGGCATGGCATATCATCACTACACCTGACAGACTAAAGCTTCCGATGTCGTGCTATTTTTCAGGTGGAAGGCCGCAAAGAGTTCCCCCAAGAAACTCATTTCAACTTTCGGGAAAGTCCAGGTTTTGTACTCTACCTTCCTGAATGATGGCAGTCCAACCCCCCTCCCCCACAAAGAAACATGCCTGTCTGTAGTCTCCTCATAGACTTAATTACTTCTTGGGGACAAGTACGCGCGTCCTTTCCCCGACGGCAATGTCGCGGTTGCTATCCTTCACTAGGACTGCTTGCGCAATGCCAGGCACAGCCTCGGAGTCCGGGGCACAGGGAGATCTTCTTCGGCCCACCGGCGGGATATCCAAAAGCACAAACTTTATCAACTCCCGTTCAAAATGAAGGCAAAGTTGAGGAAGAACATGTCAAACGGCAGCTACAACGTGTATGAGAATCCTGTGGCAGTGCCTATGCGGGCATGGGCAGCGGGATCAGCAAGCGGTGGGCGTCTTAAGCATGCTGACTCCTGTCTGGAGTGCCTGTATCACCCCAATTCATGTCTCGGAGTGTTGACAAACTACTCCCAGTGTGTGCGATTCAAATTGACAAATGAAGCGCAGATTCCAACCGTGATTCCACACTACCAGCCAGCGTACCATTCGGTCAAGACATCGTCGTTGCCAAGTGGATATATACAATAGCGCTAGCAGGGTACATTGTGCCTTTGTGTCATGCAGACTCGAACCTATGTGAGCAGACTACACATCTTAACTGCTGCACCTGCTTAAAGCTCAATCTTTGCATCTGCCCCTCCACCTCCTTCATAATAGCACACCAATGTGAATGTCTGGTGCTCCGTGGGGAATGATGGCATGGCTCGCTTTGGTAGTCCCTGTTGGGATCCCAATGCAAATCACTCCATGCCCCACTCCCAACGAAGCACCGGGGAGGACATACGGTACTGTGTTCTCGTTGCTGGCATGGGCTTTGCTACGGCTATTGCTGTGCTTCTTGCTCCTGCTCTTGGTAATCACCACAGGGATCAAACATGTTTTGTAAGGCCGGCACGCCAGCTCTGTTGAAGATAGCATCTGCAACCACAAGCGCCTGCTTGTTGGTCATGTTCAGCATGCACCTCAGTGTTGCGCATAGCATTGCCCTTAGGACTGCAGCCTAGGTTGCAGGTTGTGTTCAAGCCATGCGTGCTGAAGAAACACAAGTGTGATAATCATCATCATCACCACCATCATCATCACAGTCGTCGTAGTAGTAGTCGTCGT